TTAGAGTTATAGTAATTTTATATTTGATTATTGTATGAATGGATAGCTTTGGATAGATTAAAAGTATTTTGTAATTATTCCTGGGTTTAGCTCTGGGAAGTCCGGGGGGGGGAGGGGGGAAAAGGATAAAAATATATAAGAACTGATGTGTTCATTAATTATTTTTGAAGTATATTTATGAGGATGATCCTGGCTGTTACCCCAAACTGCTTCCGGCTGGTGCTCGAGAAAGAGGTTGGGAAGTAGGGTGGAAGGAGGAAGGTGGAGTGGTTGAGAGTCTAGAGGGAGGAAGGTTTGGTAAGTGAAAGAGGGGGAAGCAGGGAGGGGGCAGCCGGGATCATCCGTAAAGTATCTTTTTTTTGTGTATTGTTGTTTTGTATTTATATGCATCAAGTCTATGCTTATATTTTGTTATAATTGAAAATAATAAAAAAAAAATTTTGAAGAAAAAAAAAAAGTTACCACAACACTGTAAAATATGACTTATGACTGTTTTCCATAGTTACAACCTTTGTAGCATCCCCATGGTCATGTGATCAAATGAACCAGATGCTTAGCAACTGGTTCATATTTATGACCTTTGCTATGTCCCGGGGTCATGTGATCACCTTTTGCATCCTTGTGAGAGGCAAAGTCAGTAGGGAAGCCAGATTCACTTAAAAAGCAGGTTACTAATTTATCAACTGCAGTGATTCATTTAACAACTGTGACAAGAAATGTTGTAAAATGGGGCAAAACTCACAATAAATGTGTCACTTCACAAGAGAAATTTTGGGCTCAATTGTGGTCATAAGTTGAGGACTACCTGTATCACCTTTATATCTTAGTTTGTAAGGAGAGGGATTCCTTGACCCTCTCGATGATGATGATGATGATTGTGATGATGATGATGATATCCACTTCCAGATGGCAGTGGGGAGCTGGTTACATGAAACCTTAATTTCATGATCAAGGAGAAATATGGAGATCTTGTGCTGTTTGGCAAACTACCATCCTGTTTTTCAGGATCTGAGAGTTTCTTTATAGTGTGGTGAGGTGATTAAGGTGCTGGCCTAAAAACCAGGAGACTGTGAGTTCTAGTCCCTCCTTAGGCTTGAAAGCCGATTTGATAAGTTTGAGCCAGTTATTCTTTCTCAGCCCAACTCACCTCACAGGATTGCTGTTATGGGGAAAATAAGAGAAAGAAGGAGTATTAGGTAAGTTTGTTGCCTTGAATTACTTATACAAATAATAAATATGGGATATAAAATTACTAAATAAACCAACAATGAACCATTGGAAAGAGGAATTTCTTTGATTTCATTTAGTCTTCATCAGCCATCTTAATAGATCAGTAGGGTCAGATCAGCTGTACTGAGAAACCTCCATAAATTGTTGCTGCAGTAATTTCATATATAATGTATGTATCTATGTATTAAAATTTTTCAATATTGTAAAAATGAACAAAGAAAAGATGCAAAGAAAAAGAGCATAAAGAAATGAGAAAAAATATACTTCTGCTCTCTTCTTTATTGAGTAATTATCATCTTAAACATCCTCTCTGTGCCTTTTTAATCCCCAAATTGTTGTCATCTTAATGAATTCTAAGCTTGGAGTTTTCTGGTATCTTACAAGAAAACTGTTTTCCAGAAGCTAATGTTCTACATTAGAATGCACTTTCTGATTGCCTTTGTAGCACAGCAAGTGGTGGATTTAACTTTCCTTCTACAATTTGAGCATAGCTGAAACTGTTGGTTATGGGATCTAGACTTCTTCCACTGTAAAGAGGGACTGGATTGGGCACCTTTGGCTGAGGGCAAAAGTACCAACTGACAGACATATCTCTTGAATGAGCTGCAAAGTCTTTGGAGGTTGTAGTGTGCATCCCTTCCCTTCCCTTCCCTTCCCTTCCCTTGAAAAGATGCTATTGATTTCCATGGAAGAGATAACCTGCCAATACTTGAAAGAAAATACCATTTTTGTTCAATGAGAGTTACTCCCCAGAAAATGCTGCTATTACAAAATATATAATTAATAATAAAATAAGTGCTATTAAGAGTATAATAATAATAGAATTAGAAGGTCTTCTAATCCAACCCCCTGCTCAGGCAGGGAACCCTATACCAGGGGTCTTCAAACTTGGCCCTTTTATGACTTGTGGACTTCAACTCCCAGAATTCCTCAGCCAGCGTGCCTATACCATTTCAGGCAAATGGTTGTCCAGTCTCTTCTTTAAAACTTCCAGTGTTGGAGCATTCACAACTTCTGGAGGCAGGTTGTTCCACTGATGGATTCTTCTAACTGTCAGGAAATTTCTCCTTAATTCTAGGTTACTTCTCTCCTTGATCAGTTTCAATCCATTGCTTCTTGTCCTACCTTCAGGTGCTTTGGACAATAGCTTGACTCTCTCTTCTTTGTGGCAACCCGTGAGATATTAGAACACTGCTATCATGTCACTCCTAGTCCTTCTCTTCATTAAACTAGACATACCCAATTCCAGCAACTGTTCCTTATATGTTTTAGCCTCCAGTCTCCTAATCATCTTTGTTGCTCTTCTCTGTACTCTTTCTAGAGTCTCAACATCTTTTTTACATCGTGGTGACCAAAACTGGATGCAGTATTCCAAGTGTGGCCTTACCAAGGCATTGTAAAGTGGTATTAACACTTCACTTCCCATGTGGACGATGTAGGTGAGAACTCCTCCGGAGCCCCGAGGCTTCTCCGCGATCCAGGACGCCTTCGCTTCGGCGAAGCTAGAAGCCGCTGCCACTGCTGCAACTTAAATTGAACTGTGAG